ACGAGAAGCTGATGAATGTGGGCGTTTGGAAACTTGTACAGAGCCAGGGCTCCTCGCTCGCCGTGCTTCTGGCCCACAAAGACCCTAACGACGTGGACATCGCGAGAAACTCAGGGAAGCGAGCGGGCGCTTGATAACTTCTACCCCCCCCCCTCCTCGCATTTGATGCACGACACTAACTACGTATTTACGAGAAATTCAGAAAGGCTAGTGTTTGAAAACATCCAGTCCCTTGCTTCGCTTGTCCCAAAATGCTACTAACGACGCGAGTATTTGCAAGTAACTCAGAAAGCCGGCCGGCGTTCCGCTCACCCGCAGTGGAGGTCGGCGCCGCCCAGCTCCTCGGCCGAGACGACCTCCCCGGTGGCGGCGCGCACCAGCGGCGGCCCGGCCAGGAAGATGGTGCCCCTGCGCCGCACGATCACCGCCTCGTCCGCCATGGCCGGCACGTACGCGCCGCCCGCCGTGCAGCTGCCCAGCACCACCGCCAGCTGACACACACGCACGCACGCTTACTCTCACCGCCCTTGCACCCCCGCGTTTGCGTGGGTGGGCGCGATTTCTGGTGGAGTTGTAGACATGAGTTTCGCGGCGCCACTCATGTCCTTAGCTTTAAGGTGGTGGCACTAAGCTCCTGGTGGCTGAGCTTGCCCGGTGACCCACCAGTCGGGATTATGGCACGTCAGCCTTTGGGCAGGATGGGGTGAAGCAAATCCCCCCTGTCAGGTTACTTAGGTTCTGGCGATACTCATGTCAGTAGCATTAGGGTGATTGCAGTGAGGATATCGGAAGGGATCCCAAGGTGGGCTGGGGGTGGGGGAGGGGAGGGGCGACCCACCTGCGGAATGCCCATGGAGGACATGCGCGCCTGCATGTAGAAGGTGCGGCCGAAGTGGTCCCGGTCGGGGAAGACGTCCGTCTGCGAGGGCAGGTGGGCACCGCCGGAGTCCACGAGGAAGACGACGGGCAGGGCGTTGGCCAGCGCGATCTCCTGCGCGCGCAGCTGCTTCTTCACCGTCACCGGGTAGTAGGTGCCGCCCTTCACCGTTGCGTCGTTGGCAATCACCATCACCTGCCGCCTGGCGGAGCCCGAGCGAAATGCAAATCAATCTCTTCAATCTACATCACAAGTCTACATTTGAGAGGTCTGAATGCAGGATATCCTGGGAGGAAACGTCGGAAATAAGCTCTTGAGATAATTTCAAGCGCACTGGACTATTTCGATTGGTTAAGCCGCAATAAGCTCGGAATGCGCAGGCGCTTGCGCGCCGCAGACTCACCCGCAGACGGAGGCGACGCCGGTG